AGGCCCAAACCTGGCGGGCGCAAGCCTGGAAAATAACGGCCGCGGCGCCATCTCGAGAACCGAAAACGGACAATTCACTAATCGACGTGTCACTGTTGGGGGTTCTGTCCGCCCCCGATCCGTACCCATTCCGGGCGTCCGAACCCGCGACTCTGACACCACACGCGCGCTCGCGGCAGGCCGGCTGCCAGCCGCACGACGGCCTGCATAGCACGGCGCGCGCTCCTGCAAATATGTGTGGCACCGAGGTGCCACCGCCGACGGCGAGCAGCACCCAGGAGCCGCACGTCCACCACAGTCAATCGACTACACCCTGCGAAATGCTTAAGAAATCATGGGTTAAGAAATTCATAGTCTCAGAATTTGAATGCGAACCCAACATTTCTATTAAAGAATTAGGATTTACATTGAAACATTAAGAATAATCGAGATTCTGACCGAAAAAAAAGTTTTCTTAAACATCGCCTAAGGTGTACCACATGGAACGCGACACAAGGAACGGAGCCCTTGTGGGGCCCCCAAAACCTCCTGAGCGCACGAGGAGCGGAAAGGGGACAACCATGGAAGGACCCAGGGAACAGAACAGCGAGCCCCTCCCGAGCCCGAGCTGTACCATCTGTCGGCTTCTTGACCGCATCTGCCGCCTCCTCGCCCCTGCCACGTTACCGCGGCCACGACCAGCATTAGATCGGGCATGTCCTCTTACAGGCGGATTTGGGGCGAAAAATAAGAAATAGTCTGAAAAGCCTCAAGAAGAATAAAAAATACTGGAAAAATCGTCCCCAGAGTATTTTTGTACTATTTTTGAGCACTCCTCCTGTAGAGCGACAAGCCCGACTTAAGACCCGCATCACGTCGCCGATCGCCGGCGCCAGATCGCTGAGCAGCGCCACGATGGGCAGCTCCACGGCACTGCCATCCGCCCGGCGCGCGGCATGAACAAGTGTAATAAAAACAAGTGTGACAAATAACTCCGAACAAGTGTTCTCACACTTGCCTTGTTTACCACACCTGTTGTTATCACACTTTTATCACGCTTGTTCGTGCCATCCACACGACCCTGGTGTCGGGGATCTGCTAATCCGGGTCAATCAGACCCGGGTCAGCAGGTCACCAAAAACTGCAGTGCAAGAACCAAAAAAAACTGCAACGCAGGGCTTCGCAAACCTGGGCCGTCCAATATGCGCGGCCGCCTCGCGGCCACGAGCGGCTCGCCAACCCGGGTCAGCCAGAGTGAGCGAGCAACGACATATGTACATGTACGCCCTCCGCGATCTTGAGTGCACGAGCGTCCTCGTTCAAATGCCCTCCAGGGGCAGCTAACCGCGTACGTCTACATATGTTGCTGGCCTCTGACAGAGGGCGTCTTCGCAGGATCCTGCAGGAGCCGATGCCCTGGCCGACCCCCGCTGGCACGGACCCCTGCCCCCGGAGTCCCGACGTGGTGGGCACCGCCGGCACGACCCGGAGCAGCACGGCGAGCGCCGCCGCCGCCCCCGCCGCTCGTGCCGCCGCGCGTGCCGGCGCCCGTGCCGCGCCAGGCCACCGGGCGGGGGCGGCTCGGCGCCGGGCCGCCCGGCAGAGTCGCCAGCGCTTCCCCCGCACGCCGTCCCAAAGAAGGCCACGCGCTCCTGGGCACGTGGCACGAGCGGCCGGAAGCGAGGGGCAGCGAGAGGGGGGGGGACTGGCATGGGGGGAGGCATCGACCTGGAATCGGCGATGCATCGCCGACAGATCGGCGATAGGCCTCCGATCGTGAATCCGCACCTTCCCGTGCTGGTTGGGGGTATCAGACCCCTGTCGGCGATCAGTGGGCGATTGGGGGTCGATGCATCCCCCCTATGCCTATCCGCCCCTACCGTTGTCCCTGAGGAAGGCATGTCTAGAGGGACAAACAAAAACGGCATAAACATAAGCGCGCCAGGGCGGCGCCAGAGGCGCCGCCGGGGGGCCCCCGCGCGGATCCAAGAACTCCGCGCGAAGCGCCAAAAGTTTTTGTTTATGTCGTTGTTTGATCTTCGCATGTCTCCTGGGCATGTGGCATGAGCGGCCGGAAGTAGAGAGCAGAAAATCCACCCTCATAACAAATCACCCCGACACGCGAAGCCGTTCAGTAAACGCACCCAAAGAAGGAATCGAAGAGGGCAGGGCTGTTCAGTAAACGCCCAGGGCCGCTTTATAAACGCCAGATATCGGGTCCGGGTGGCTTTTCCTCCCTTGGGCAAAACATGTGGGCGAAGTCGGCCCCTCGTTTGCGACCGGGGCCCACGCACCCCCTTGCACACGGCCACTCTGGTGCGTGTGTAGTCGCACGTGCGCCGGCTCCGCCGCCGCCCACAGCGGGCACCGCCGCGCAGATGCCCGCGTCGGCGGCGAACGAAACTGCATGCAGGCTGCCTCGCAGCGCGAGCCACCTCGCGCGCGCAGAGCCGCCTGCGCACAAGGCTCGCGGTCGTCGGACGGCGCCTCGCCTGGAGCCGAAACTGCTACGGGTGCGTGTTGGTGTGTGTACGGGCGCACGTGCGGGCGCGCGTGCGGGTGCGTGTGCATGTGCGTGTGCGTGTGCGTGCGCGCGCGTGTGCGAGTGAGTTTGTGCATCAATATATCTGTGTGGGTTTGCGTGGGCTTATGTGGGCTTGCGGGTGTGGGTGTGTGTCCGTGTCCGTGAGCAGGTGTGCGGTTGTGCGGGCATGCGAGTGTGCGGGTATGGGTGTGGCAGTGTAGGTGTGTAACGGGACGCGTCCAATATACGCATAAATGCAATTCAGCTCGCGCATCCCGCTTGCTGCTTTCGCGATCGTGCTCCACGGCGCCGGTGGAGGGAAGCATAAGAAAGCGTGTGTGTGTGTGCGTGCGTGCGCGCGCCTGTGTCGAGCCCTTGTTTGTGTTGTTATATTCTCGTCTTGAGAACCAGTACCATGGGCCCCCTGACACATCGAGCCCATCATGTGTTCACTCTTTGGACAGAAGTCCATACACTTTTCTGGCCCCACGCGAAGAATGCTACCACGTCCTCGGTAAGGCCTTACATGTCCCAATCACAGAGCGGGGTGGCGGATTTGCTTGGCAGCGAGATCGGATAACACACTGGATTGCTTCCCGTCGGCCAGACCAGCCCAGCCCGGCCGCGCCCGGAACTGCCAGATCCCTCAGGGCACGCCGTACTGGACGCAGAACTGCTCCAGCTGGGACGCGTCGGCGCGGGCGGGGTCTCGCATCCCGCCCAGGACGGTGTCGGCAAAGGCGTGCCAGGCTTCCTTCTGAGGCTGACCCATTCTCTGGTACTGCTTGATCCTCATGACCATGGGGTCGCTGGAGTCCATCCTGGGCCTCTTCGCCGCGGGCTGGTCACCCAGGCTTGCGGGGGGCAAGACAGGCCGCACCTCCGCCCAACCCTGGGAGGACGAAGAAGGGAGAGGGCAGGTGGGGGAGGTACAGGGGCAAGGTTGACGCGCCGGGAATGGTCACGGAAAAACAACATGCACAATGCCCAACAGCAAATGCCGCCGAAACCCCACAGCGGCCGCTGCCGGGCAGGCGACCTGCTGCATCGAACTGACCACGCCCGCGGCGACACCGACGGCGACTCCTCCCTCAAACCTCGGCAGGAACGGCTGCCGGCCTGCGTCCCCAGGGTGTCCGCACGCACCCAGTCCGATCGCACCCACGGGAGGGGGGGGCCGCCCCGAGGGGACCCCGGCGCGCGCTGCGGCGGCTTGGCGCGGCGTTGCCAGGCTGTGGCCTCGTCGGCCCTCCGCCTCGCAAGCAGCCGCCGCTCTCGTCTATGACGTCCGTCGTTTGGCTGTCCCACCCGTAGGAAGGCGCCAACTGTGCGCCAACGCCGATCCTGGTCAGGATCACCCTGGAGGGGAACCGGGACACACAAATAAATACACACAAACAAAAATATGCCCCATATTTTCCCATATGTTCTGGGTTTCTGTCTTCCCCCCCACTTCCCATCTTTCCCCATATTTTCTGGGGAGGCGACGATTAATTGTGTCTGTGTGTTTTTTTCCCTCCTGAAACTGTGCGCCAACGCCGATCCTGGTCAGGATCACCCTGGGCCCAGGACCGGCGTGACCCTGCTGCCTTGGGCAGAGTGCATTTTACGCCCATCCTGGGCCAAGCATCGGCCCTGGCCAGGATCGGTGTGCAGTAGGGGCCCGACCACGAGAAACCTTCCACCAGAAACCCAGCCCCGAGACCCCAGGACGTCGATTGATTCCTGGCGTGGGAGCACCACGCTCTCCATCGCAAAGCCATCGAAACCTGAGAAACCCAGGGCACCCTGGAGGCGAGCAAGGTGTTTCTTGGCATGGGTCTCCACTGTAGGTGTATAGTTGGTGCCCTCCAAACTCGGTTGCCCCACTGCAGGTTGTCCCGACTGGTGCGTCGTGTGCCTGTCTGCGCGCACCCCTAAGAGGCTGCATGCCTCCGTGCCACCGCAAGAAACGATGACGAGGGAACGGAGGGGCTTCGCCGGCCACGGCGAGCCTCGGCCACCCCAACAAAAAAAAGCGCTTCGGGGAGCGCCCCGAAAGCCAGAGGCCCTCCCGAGACCTAAGTTTAGGTCGGGCATGTCCTCCTTGAGGCGGGCTTCGGAAGAGCACGGAAAATCGTCACCAGACGATTTTACGTACGATTCTTGACTGTGCCTCGTAGAGGGAGCGACCCTCATCCTGTTCCCAGGCGAGGACCCTGCGAAACGATACACAAGGAGCACCGAGCTCCTGAAGCGAACATGGTCCGTATTGCGACCCCCGTGAGGAAGGAGGGAGGAGTGAAGAGAATGAGGGGGACGGAGGGATAGGAGGGAAGGAGTGAGCGAGAAGGAAGGAGGGAGACGGAGGGAGGGAGGGGGTGAGGGAGGAGGGTCACTGCGCTTCCTGCTCCCCAGCTTAGGGAAAGGCTGCCGAAGCCGCCGCCGCCCAAGCCACTCAGGCCGCCCTGCTGGTTCATCGCCAGGGCCACGCCGGCATTGCCGACCGCCATGTTCCCTATGAAGTCGAAGAAGCCCTCGAGGAAGTCGGCGGAGTGCTGTCCGGCGGCGCGCAGGAGGGGGCGGGGCGACGGGGGCGGCGCGTAGAAACATGGAAAGCCGACGCCAGCACCACCATGGACCACCAGCGGGAGGAGCCAGGGAGGGGTCCCCTGGTGGTGTGGTCCCCCCCCTCTCTCTCGGGACGTTCCCCATCCCCGGCTCGGAGAGGCATCGTGGACCTCCTCGCTGGAGGTGGCCCCCTGGTGGTGTTGGTGTCGCTTCTCCTTCCCCCCAGCATGGGGGGGGGGCTTTCTGGAGGCCCTCGTCGCCACGCGGCTGGACAGGGCCTCAGAAGGCAGGGGGGGGCCTCCCGAGAAGGCAAGGGGCTGCTTAGCCGACCAGCCATAACTGGGGGAGCTGTAGTCCTTACCCCCCTGGGGGAAGCCATCGCATCGACGATCTATCGAGAGGGGTGTCGAAATCGATGGGTCCCCCAGGGGGGTAAGGACCACAGCTCCCCCAGTTGTGGCTGGCCTGCTTCGAAGGGCTCTCGGCCCCCTCCTAGGAGCTTCTCCGAGAGCTTCTCGGCAAGAGGTGTGGTCTCTGAGAGGTGGGGCGTCATCTTTAGACGAGCGC